AATAGTTAGAAATATTATATTGAAAAAAAAGTGTGTGGTGGGGTATAAAAGTGGGGGAAATTTTGACTCGGACGAAGATTTAGTCTAAGAAGGGAAAAATGGGGGTGGTTTGCGTAGATTTTGGACTTTCCTGTCCTGCTATTGGTCGATTCAAACCGGCGAAGGCCTAGGTATAGAAATTAGAAGCTTAACTCAAAATATAGCGGCAGGCTTGCGTTCCTTAATCTCAGTTTATCGAAACTACTCTTACGAACAAGTTGTGTGTAAAAATGGAACATTGTGGTGTTATAAATCCAAAAAGGAATCATTCCGATTCCAACAAAAAGTATCCTAAAGTTGAAGAACAGAAAACAAGTTCCCAACAAGAAAATAGTCAGACAAGTGGAAGTAAAAATGGTAAGTACAATTTTCTGTATATAATTTCATTGTTTTTGGTTCCGTTCAAAAATTAGAAAGTTTCTTGTCTCTTTGTTTTATTTCGTTTCTTCTTTTTCATATTCACATTTGTGTTTTTATTACGCGTAAATTTGTCTTAAYGTTAGTATATTTCCATCGTACAATCATTAATAGATTAGTTTTTTAACGAGCATAATTCTGGATGGAAATTAATTTATACTTAAGCTTCATTATTATTCATCGAAATAAATTGAACACTATCGTAGTCCTATGTATTCGTGATCATTTTTTGATGTATATTACATTTAGAAAAATATTTCTTTTTATATAATCGAATGGAAAAAAAAAGTTGAAGATAGAAATCGAGTAACCCTTTGTATTCGTAACTCGTATTATTTAACATATTATTAATCGATAGAAAAATAAATATATGCAAATRTAATATTCGAACGTTCGAAAAGTGTATTACAAACTATTATATGTTAATAAATTTGAATATAATATGAAAATACAAAAATTATCCCGCAATACGACGCGATCCATCGAAACAGTGCACGGTTTACGCAACCGATCGCAGCGATCGCCTCAACGCCTTATTGTAACCTGCGTTCTTGGCTGGTGCTTTCGACGAAAAAACTTGATTCAAAAAAGAGTAAATAACAAATAATGCAGAACGAAAAACTCGCGCGGCATGTCCAGAGTGAAATACTCTGTGCATAGCTACCGCAGGCGCTTATCATATATACAATTACGCGACATCTTTAGCGGGAGCGACTATACTCGCTCGTAGTATCTCAGCGGCATCACATGGAGAGCGACTATAGTCGCTCGTAGTAGCGAAAGGGTTAAAATAGTTTAATAAACATGCACACGTGCTTGTGAAATAAAATAAAATAAAACAAGAGATAAGAGAAATTAGGAAAAAAATACATGTAGAATAATAAATTAAAATACAAATCGAGAGGAAAAATTGTATTAACGAAATTTTCTTTGCTTCTTWCTGTTTGTTTTCTCCACGTAGACGATGGTAGTCAGAAAAAAGAAAAATTAGTCTTGAAAGTTTGTTCGAAATCTAATAGTTTTACAAGAAGATTACAAACTTTACTAAAAGCAAAACCATTTACCGCAAATGCGATTGAAAATCAAAYRGCATCAGCTACTRACATTAAAGAGTCAGTTAATGATACAGCATCAAATAATGTGTTCGAATTCGATAGAGTATCAGTTAACTTTAGCGAATGCGATAMAGAATCTGTAAAAAGTTTTMAACTTGAAACTCAATCGTTAAGAAGTTTAAATATGGAAAATAGTGACAAGAATAATCCAGAATTCGATACGATATCGTTAAATGAAACGTCTAATGGAAGATTAAATAGTTGGAAGAGAAAGTCAAATTGGGGAAATCCAAAGCAAAATGAAACGAAACAGACAMASAWTGAATCTACGAAACAAGAAAAGGAGAATAAATGTTTGATGTTAGTTTTACATCAATTTCCTGATGAATTACCAAAACTATCAGTTGACGTTAATATTCTGTACGTCATATTAATATCGTACACCCASCAACTAAGTTATTTGATCGAAGCTGGCTACCCATTTAATATAGATTTCAATAAGAAATCTAAATGCAATAGTTTAGTACCAGCTGATTTTGAATACTCCACATTGTATGAAGTCAGATGTGAGTTGTGTTACAGATGGTACAACATGTATAATCATTCCRTWTTAWACGATAGTGAACGATGTATATATCATGAAAAGGAATTAAATAAACCATTTTATAGAAATTCCAAAAAAACATGGACCTGTTGTAATAACGAAGTTGGTAATTTGGGTTGTTTAAAAGCGAGCAATCACAATTGGAATAAATATTTCTACATACCAGATAATGAATATAAGGGTTTCATTAAGACTAAACCATCTACAGAAAAAAAAGATTTTTATGGTATTTACGGACTTGATTGTGGTATGGTTCAAGTAGAAGGTGGATTCATGTTATCCGAAGTTGCTTTGGTRGATGTAACCGGTAAAACTATATATTTTTCTTTTGTAAACATAMAAAGAAGAATTCTGGACAGAATGGTCAAACATAAATATGATCAAATTAGATCGTCCCAAAAAACATTTVAAACAGTTCAAAATGAACTACTACAATTTATATCATCGGAAACAATTCTCATAGGCCATGGCCTTGAGAATGATCTCAAAGCCTTATGCATYATACATTATAACGTTATTGATACCTCATTATTATTGAACAAAGAAAATGCATTTCCCTATCGATACCGTTTGCAAGAATTGGTTCAATATTTTCTGCAAAGGGATATTCAATTAAGTGCTCATTCAGCTGTAGAGGATGCACTTGCTGCAATACAATTAACATTGTATAAAGTTTATCATGATGGATTTGACAGTACTATTATCAATTCTAGTCCTAATGTCATCAAAAAAATAATTGAAAATAAACAACATGGAAGAAGAAAGAAGAAAAATGGTGGTGCAGGTGCAGCGGCAGCACGAGCTTCAAATAATCTTGACAATACAACGGATAATAATTCGGAACAAAAGACTGATAAACGGATTAAACAAACAAATAAACCAATAATTAARCAAAGAAATCTACCGCCGCTTAGAAATAATATTTTGAAAAAAAGAAAGTCACAGCCGAAATTTAAAAAATATTAAAAAACAAAATAGGTAACTATATATATACTTGCAATTATATATATATTTTTTTTGGGATCATATTTTTTTAATTACACTACATTTTTTGTATCTCGTATGGAGAAAAACATATTTACCACTCTTTTTTGAGGGGTTTATTTTTTAACTTTAATGAATTATTTCTATTGAAAATTAGATCATTTCCAAATCATTGTCACTTTTAATACTCTACATTTCAGACGTTAGATTATTCCTAATGTTTCTTCTGAAATTATTTTTAATAGTTTTTCTCCTAGATACATCAATTTCTTTTTTTTTATATATGTATATCTTCATATCAGTTCTCTTTTTTTTGTGCAATAATTGATCTAACTAACCTAGACAAAAAAATATATATATAACAACGTAAATGATATTGTTGATTACATTCATTTGCACGCAATCTAAATCGTAATTTTTTTTTTTAGTTCAATGCCAAAAAATAACAATAGTAATAATACAATTAACAATGAGTGATATTCGATTGCTATACGAAATCAATAACAACATAGTCTAACATCAGTATGTTGGAGTTAAAAGCCAAACATTTATTCGAATTGAATCACTATTCAAATGGGAAAAAACAAGAAACAYTTATAATTTTATCAATAATTGTTCATGCAATTTATATCATTTAATTCATGAATTATATTATGATAAAATGTTTCGAAAAAATGTATGAGTAGTTAGAAATTGATTAGGTATATCAAGTGTTAATGTATGACATGGGAAAGGAAACATGTGACACTTATTAACTGTGATATTTATTAACTATGATAATAGAAAAGAAAAGTTTCTTTTTTTTTTTAATAGTTAATAATTGAATAATTATATTTTTTATAATTATACACTTCTTGGGAATCTTTCCATTCCCATTTTATTAAGTATGTACTATTGTACATTATTAATGTTTAATAGTTATTACACGAGTAATTGAACTATTATCGGTTCAATCATTTATTATAAATAATTTCTTTTTGTACATTTTTTAAGTAAGAAATTATTTATAATGAATTATGAAAAATGACATATAAAACGTTACTATTGTGATGTTTTATTAACTAAACATTTTACATAAAAGACTGATTAATTACGCAAAGACTGAATTTTAAACGTAAAAACTGTTATACCAAACATGTCAGATATAAATAATCGTCAAATTATTTCTTACGATGTGAGAAAAGAAGAAATCTTGCCAATCAATTTTGATATTAGATGTAATTAATGATAAAATTTAATCGAGTACATAAAGACRAAAATCAAAACATAAGATCAAGTAGATTTTTTTCTCTTCTTACAATGTAAAGAAATRTWAAACGTTCAAATAMAATCCAAAGATTTGAATTAACAAAACTAATAGATAAGTTAATTTTTAAATGAGATTTTTATCAATGTTACTGACAAATATTGTACACCTTGTAATAGAATATTTTTTATACTTTTACTTTTTTGCATTGTATAGAATCAGAATAGCGAAATCAAATATGTACATATATATATATAAGACTAAAACTCTTATTATTAAGTGAGGATAACCAACAAACTAAAATTTGTTTTAAACCAAATTTGTTTAAAACCAAAAAAACGACAATTAAAGTTTATTATTCCMACTTATTCTAAACAGTTTATTTATTTATATTTATAACGAATATTCTTTACTCCTTTTCACATCTGCTTTATCTTGTATTCTCTCCCTTCCTTTGTTTATCAATCGCCACTCATTTCTTTCTACCGATTTTATTAATCGATCCTTCCAACGAGAGCTGTTTGAAGTGCGACAAAACACATCAAAGGAATACATTTCCTTTACATATATATTACAAAATTTTATTTTTAAATATTGTAAACTTTTCTTATTTGTGTATACAGATTATTTCATTTTTCTTCCCATTCCACTCCTTTTTTCTATTTTAAATATTTTTTTTCTCGGACAACTATCGTTCATATAAATCAAATTCTTCGACAATTTGATACAAGCAAAACAAAAAAAGGAATAAAACAACATGGACGATACTACCAAGTTGCGATATCTGAAATCGTGCCTAGTCGGTGAGGCTGCAGGATGGATTAAGGATGTGTCGACTAGCACTGCGAATTATGCTAGCACTTGGGAGGCGTTAAATCCGATTTTAGATTAGGTATTATAATCCGATGCTCCTTCTGTTTAACAAACTGCAGGCATTGTTGGATCTTCCGCGTCTTAGGAGGGAGTCCATCGCGGAGCTGCGTTCACTCCTTGATAGGATGCAGTGTATSGTTAGGTCTTTACAGAATGCTGGTTGGCCGGTAGAAAGCTGGGATAGMATACTTTATTTCTTGCTGGTTACGGACGCTGCTGGATGTGGACACGCGCAACTCGTGGAATGCGGAACTCATCTCAATGGAGGGGTTGAGCAGAGCTTCA